TCGATCCTCGATTGGCCCATGAACCTGCTCTCATCTCCGGCGAGCATCAGCTCCGTCGTCGCAGCCGCCCTGAAATCAAAACGAGTCATCAAAATCCACGGAACCCACCGTCGAAAGCCTAAGAAAAGAACTCGGTCAACCGTCGGTCACCTACCTCTGGTTCATGGGCGACAACGGGGACATCCGCAAGCTGCCCAGGGGGGTACGGAAATCTAGCGGCGGCGTCGAGCTTGTCCTCGTTGAGGTCGTGGAGGAACCTGCACCTGCTGCCGTTCTTGCAGAACCCCCTGGCGAGGTAGAGACAGGGGTGACGGAGGTAGCGGCGGTGTTGGAGGTTTCGAGTGAGGTTAGAGAGAGGGTGGAAGAGGAGATGGGTTTGTAGGAAGAAGAGTAGATCTAGAGAAGATCTGAAGAAGAAGAAGAGGGTAGTCTGGGAATTTTTTGTCTTGGAAATTGTAAATGGGGCTGATTCACATGGATTTTTTATTTTTGGGGAAAAAGCACATTAGAAAAAGTTCAAGGGGCTGGGACACATCAACAATTTAGTTTTTGGGCCTTGAAGCAATTTTTCCCAAATAAAATCCATGATATTAGATTTCAATAATTGTGGTTATGTAAAAAATATCTGGGTCTCATATGAGATAATGCTCATACATAATATAACATTGTAATCTATAATCTCGAATATTGATGAATTTTTAACGTAATAATTTACGTCAAGATATATGCTTAAGATTTGGGAGAGCTGAGAGTGAAGAGATTTGGGATATGAATTGTGGCTTGTGTGACTTGTGCTTTAGTTTTGGTTTCTAAACACGACCCAATACGAAGCCCACAATCAAAATAAAAATGACTCGATTTTGTTATACCAAGCAATATTTTCGATAGTGATCATTATATAGAAAAAATTCTCCAAATAAAAGAAAACAATATAAAACCATAAATGTTATTAAGATAAAGTATTTAACATTTTATATCACTCAATATAGCGATATATCGGCCAATATTTCATATATTGCGTATAAGAGCAATATTTAAAGGTAATTTAGGTATCATTTCCTTGATTTTAAATCTGTAATAATTTTACATTATTCCCTTAAATTTTTAAAATTTCTTATAATTTAGGGAATAATATTAAATTATAAAACATTTGAGGGATGAATATGTAAATAAGCTAAATTTAAAAGAATAATTAATTTTTTGAAAACTCCCTTAACTATAAGGAATGTCTCAAAAAATCACCCAACAAATTTAATTTGACAGAGCCCCCTAACTATAGAGGTGTTGTAGATAACCCCTCTCAACTTTGGTGCCATTTTAGAAAACACCCTGCGACTTAGCGTGTCTTATGAAAACTCTCC